TCACTTTAGTGCACACATCACGTCATGGTTTTAACTGGATTGTTTTATAAACATCGCTGAATTCTGTAATTTGTGATCCTGGACTACAAAACCATTTTTCGAAATTGAGATTTATACATCATCTCTCTCCATTGATGTATGGTTTGTTAGGATAGGACAATGTTTGGCCGAGATATTTGAAGAGCTTAAATCTGAGGGTGCAAAAAAATCTAAATATTGAGAAAATCCCCTTTAAAGTTGCCCACATGAAGTTCTTAGCAATGCATATTACTAATCAAAAATTAAGTTTTGATATATTTACGGTAGGAAAGTTACAAAGTATCTTCATGGAACATGATCTTTACTTAATATCCTTTTGGCAAAAAAGAAAAAGCGATTATTTTGACCTATAAAATGTATTGTTGGCTATTGCTACAAATATACTTAAGACTGGCTTTGTGCTCCAGTCACATTTCATCACATTTATTTTTATTAAATAAATTGTTTAGAACCTTGAAGGGCAAAGTGGTAGTTTTCATTCTGAAAACATTATTAAATTACTTTGTTTTAAAATATTTTATTATTAAGCCATTTTTTTTTAATCAAGAAAGATTAGAAAAGTTCAACAGGTTATTAAATCATGTGCTGTATATGTGCCGTTTTGGTTAAAAGCATCTGTTAACCTATTTAATCCCACCGGTAACATTTGTGGCTCAAAATTTAACTTTAGAGTTTGAAAGGTCAAAAAAAAAAATTCTCTCTCATATATATATATATATATAAACAATAATAATAAAATTAATTAAAAAGGTCAGATGTTTTAAAGGGATTAACTTCTTAAGAAAAGTTATGCAATGCTTCATTGGGCTATATGAGTAAAATGCACTTATAGAATACAGTGGGGGAAAAACATAAAATGTCACATGTAACATCTTTCAAAGACCCACTATTACACTACAAAGACAAACTAATGTATTGCCCTCTAGTGGTTACATGGTTAGCTGCAGACAGGTGTCAAACAAAGCAACAAATATTACTTCTAACTACGATTAAAATATACATATTTCTAAACAATTTAAGAAACAAAGTACCATGTCAATGAGCAGTCATGCTTGGTTGCACAAAACATGCACTATGTATTGGTTCAGTACAATTTTTACATAAATGAATACATTTATTCAGCAAGGATGCATTAAATTGATCAAAAGGGACAGTAAAAACATGCATGTTACAAAAAGATTTATATTTCAAATAAATTATATTCTTTTAAAGTTTATATTAATCAAAGAAAAAAGATATAATCTTTTTTTTAAGCTGCTGAATATTCAGTTTAGCCATCACAGGAATAAATGACATTTTAAAATATATCACATAAATGTTATTTTAAGTTATGATATTTCGCAGTACTACTGGTTTTTGATCAGATAAATGCAGCTTTGGTGAGCAGAAGGTGTTTCTTTCAAAAACACTAAACTTTTGAACTTAATTTGTTTCAGTCCTTTGCATATGCTAATTGCCACTTTGTTTAATTCCAACACTAGAAACAGTAGCCTGGAACAGTGGGGGGAAACAAATATTTATTTTTGAGATTTAGAAAAGAAAAAGGTTTTCACAATTTTAAACATGGGTCAAAATACCAAATATTGACAAATGAAAAAGTAAAACCAACAATTTAACAGCAAACAAACAATATCCAAATGAACTCCTAACAGACAATCAATTGGACACACTCTGCAGCAATGTGATGTTGTCTCCTTTCAACATAATCCGCCCTATTAGAGAGATAAAATATGTTTAAAGTCATATCGAACTTACATCAAACAAAAGTTATTTCTCAGAAACGCATGACTCGCCAGTATCGCAAAGTTCACACTTACCCAGTGGCTTCCTGTTCTTGGTCTTCATGTGAACCTCCTCTGCATCATCCAAAACCAAGTTCATATACTCATCAAATCCCTTGAAACATAAACAAAAAGCAAATAAGAGTTCTTTATTCACATGCTTGCATGATATTGTTCCCAAAATTATCTGTAAAGATGAAAATGACCTGTGTGGAAAGAGTAAAGCGTGTTAACGGTAAATGTGAGACTTGCTGTGTTTACTCACAATGATGCAGCCTTCTATCCGCATGTTGACCTGTTCATACAGCCAAACCTGGATTCGAGAACGCTGCACAGGAAGGGAAAAAAATATTAGCAACTCGTCATAAATTAGATTTGTATTTTGAACTTTTAATTTAGATTAGATTTTTATTTTTATGAGGATGATAAATACAAAAACGCTGCAGGTAATGCTATTCTAAAAATTTATAAACAAACAAAAAAAAACAATAGTAGAAACCAGAAAACAAAAACGCATGGGGAAACCTCATTTCATCAACACTTAATAATACATAATTAACTAATATATATATATATATTAGAGGTCGACCGATATATCGGTTTTGCAGATTAATCTGCACCGATCGTTGATTGGCGGAACTATCGGTTATCGGCAAAAGTCCTTGCCGATAGTTTTCCGGGTTGCGTCCATTGCTGGAGCATCTGAGAATGGTCCGCTGACATTATACAGTCCGAGAGTGGCCTCTAGTGGTGGAAATCCCTGGCAGCACGTGTTGTTTGTTTTGGCACGCGAGGCTGCGCGCTGCACAATGTGGAAAACTTCAGACGCAGATTTAAATGCAGCCGACAGAAAATCCTGCCACACCACAGAGCACCATTCACATAGTTTTCCATTAAATTACATTATATTTGTCCCAAATCGTTCTTAACGTACATAATGACTTCACCCTAGGCTGTAAAATTATGTATTGTGCATTTTTCAGCAAAACATTTGTCTTTCTGTGGCTCTAATAAAGTATGCTTCATTTATTGAGCAGTAATAGCCTATAGATCGCAATTTCTCTTTCCGTTTGCTCTGTATTTTTAAATTCCGAACTACAAACTCATCCATGTCATTGTTCATGCTTGAAGTAAACTTTTGCCCGTTTGGTGATTAAATAAACTGTTTTAGACTGCGGCTTGAAGTGAACGCGCCGCGTCCGGTGTGAGTAATACCTTAGATAATCATCAAGTGCTCTAAAATAGAAGCAGTTAAAGTGTGAGAGTATGCACACAGTACAATAAGAGTCCATTTGTAACATTAAGATTAATGAAAGCTGTATAAGTATTGTTCCTTGTTAGAGTTTGTTCATTTAAACATTTACTATTACTAGCCTAATACATTCAAAAACATTTTTTTTACATTTCTTCTGTTAACATTAGTTAATAAACTATGAACTAACTAATTTCTAATACTAATATTTTTATTCATTTACAAATTATGGTTCAGCACTATTTTAGTTTTTGTTCAGGATCCATTTTAAAAACTATCGGTTGATTAATCGGTATCGGTCAGGGTGGTCCAAACTAACAATCGGTATCGATAAAATCCAATATCGGTCGACCTCTAATATATATATATATATATGTGTGTATGTAAGTATATAAGTATGTATGTATATATATTTTTTTTTAATAAATATATATTCATGCATGTTAATTATACTAATATACACAATAAAATAATTAACTTACATTCTGTAGATACCTGAAAATAAGGTTCTGAAGGTGTAATTAAGGAAACAAACAAATATTAACAATAACATTATACCGATATCAAATATAACCCATGAATAATTTAAAAAAAGCTTTTTTCATTCATTAGTAACGTTAAGGAACCGATCAGCAGGACAAAAACAAACCTGATGCAAACCTCTCAAATACTGATCGAAGATATAATTATAGAAAAAAATCATGCAATTCATAATACAATATGTAATACAATACAACATTATTAATATGACTAAACCAACGTATATCAATACAATGGAAAAGCCAATCCAGTTCTGCGTTCTGAAGGATACAATGGGCTGCACCATGACCTTCTGAACCTTCTGTCCTTGTCCTCTGTACGCCATTCTTTCAAGCAATATCCAGATATTTTTAGAAGAAGGTGATCAATGAAAAATGAAATGCAATAGTTACTGGCGCGGCAACGAAACTCTCACGTTGCTTGCTGCTGTTTCAATGGCGGCGCAATGCCGGAAACAGACCGACGCAGATAAAACGACCTGTTGATTCTATGTTACGCCTCTTGTGGCCGGGAGACACATTACAGACTGGTGGATTCACACAACATATTTGTATTGCACAGAACATGTTACATAATGCACGACTGTAAAAGCAGTTATATATATATATGCACAGCCAATTATATGTTATTGTCCAATAATTCTACACGTTTTTTCACTATTTTAAATCAGCGTTTGCTATCACCAGTTCATTATAAATGTCTCTGTGTTGTTACATAATTTTTAAAAGTAAAAATTTTAAATATTGATATGCTGATATTGGACGAAAATATCAATACAATGGAAAAGCCAATCCAGTTCTGCGTTCTGCAGGATACAATGGGCTGCACCATGACCTTCTGAACCTTCTGTCCTTGTCCTCTGTACGCCATTCTTTCAAGCAATATCCAGATATTTTTAGAAGAAGGTGATCAATGAAAAATGAAATGCAATAGTTACTGGCGCGGCAACGAAACTCTCACGTTGCTTGCTGCTGTTTCAATGGCGGCGCAATGCCGGAAACAGACCGACGCAGATAAAACGACCTGTTGATTCTATGTTACGCCTCTTGTGGCCGGGAGACACATTACAGACTGGTGGATTCACACAACATATTTGTATTGCACAGAACATGTTACATAATGCACGACTGTAAAAGCAGTTATATATATATATGCACAGCCAATTATATGTTATTGTCCAATAATTCTACACGTTTTTTCACTATTTTAAATCAGCGTTTGCTATCACCAGTTCATTATAAATGTCTCTGTGTTGTTACATAATTTTTAAAAGTAAAAATTTTAAATATTGATATGCTGATTTTGGACGAAATTTTACGCTAGCAATATCTACAACTTGTGTAGTTTTCAGGACGTAGTACACCGATTGTGTGACGTAATACGCATGTTTCTGCTCGGTCAGCGTGTCAATTGTTGTTGTTTTAGAGGCGTTCAGTGGTGAGTGACTTCGCATCGGGCCAGCTCCAAACTACGAGTGATTTTTATTTATTAAGACAATATTTTCATATATCTTTAAAGGATGTTTTTATAGTGAAAGAACTGTTTGAATTTGAGGTTATATAATTATATATCTGCTGAGCTTTTGCAACGTTATCTTTAGCCTGGCTAACAATTAGCCTAGCTTAGATTGTTGTCAACATTGTCTTTTATATGATTAAACACCCAATACTTTTGCTTAGGTGATAAAAAAATAAGGTTACAAAGTTTAAAATGAATAATTATGTACGCATTTATTGCGTTTATCGTTTTGTTCAGCTGTAGTGCTTTTGTTTTTTTTCAAGTACTCAGTAAATCTATTGTATCTAGTTATACTGGAATATATATTTTAATGCCGTTATCATATTCCTCGTTTCTTTCTTTATTTTTTATGTTTATGTATTCATATACTGTGTAAATACGTGCACATTTCCACCTGTTATTTAAATGAAATTGCCATTGCTTTACATGGATGATTTTTCTATATTTTTAGTCTTATAATTTTATTGTTGCATATGTCCTTGTTTTAAAGCCAAAATATAACTGCTTCTAAACTTCATATTAATTTAGCTCATGCACTTGTTCTGTGTTCAGAACTGAACAGGTACAGGATGCTGCGTCTGCGTTGCAAAGCCAAGAACGGGACCCATCTGATGCAGGGCCTTACACACCAATCATGTGTTCAGGAGCTTAAAGATAAGATCGAGGAGCTAACTGGAATACCGTGTGATGTACAGAAGATCATGGTAGGCTATCCTCCGTCCAGCCTGGATCTACGCAATGGTGAAGCCCACCTCAAAGAATACCCTATCAAATCAGGTTTGGGTTTGCTTTGCATTGCATGATCTTTACACTTGATTTATTTGCAATGTGCTACAGGAATAGTTGACCCAAAAATGAAAATGTGTTGCAAATGTACTCTCACTCAGGCCATCCAGGATTAAGATGAGTTTGTTTTTCATCAGAACAGAGTTGGAGAAATGTAGCATTACATCACTTGTTCACCAATGGATTAGGGCTGTGTATCACCAGCAAAGTCACGGTACGATACGTATCACGATACGGGACTGCACTGAATTTCACCTCAGCAGAATTTAGTAAAACAACTGTTTATTAAACACTGCATACTATAGGGCCATTTCTAACTATAGGCAGAGCAGGCAGTTGACCGCATTATTAAGGGCCTCCATAACTGTACCATAGTAGGCTGCAATATAAGTAATGGCGTATGTTTCATGTTAACATCGGGCACTCTCCACCAGGTACAATATTCTGATTGTTTGCATCTTGATTTTAGGCCCATGCATAATAATGTATTTGTTCTATTGTAATGTACTCATTCTAATATATTAAAAATCATCTTTACATTGCTGGTAGGTTATCATTGCACAAATTAACACTCTCTACGTTTAAAAAAAAAAAATTAGAAGCATTCTAAACTAATGTGCTGTCTTCACTGTAGCTCACAGCACATTCAACAACACAGAAACTTCTCAGCGCTGCCCTGCAATTTGATCAATAAAATAGCTTAATCGCTGAAGAGCTACATTAGCTTTCTCAACAAGATAGAGCAGGCAGTTGACCGCATTATTAAGGGCCTCCATAACTGTACCATAGTAGGCTGCAATATAAGTAATGGCGTATGTTTCATGTTAACATCGGGCACTCTCCACCAGGTACAATATTCTGATTGTTTGCATCTTGATTTTAGGCCCATGCATAATAATGTATTTGTTCTATTGTAATGTACTCATTCTAATATATTAAAAATCATCTTTACATTGCTGGTAGGTTATCATTGCACAAATTAACACTCTCTACGTTTAAAAAAAAAAAATTAGAAGCATTCTAAACTAATGTGCTGTCTTCACTGTAGCTCACAGCACATTCAACAACACAGAAACTTCTCAGCGCTGCCCTGCAATTTGATCAATAAAATAGCTTAATCGCTGAAGAGCTACATTAGCTTTCTCAACAAGATAGTGGAAATCAATTGCTTAACGAGTGTTTAATAATAATGTATTAAATAGTGGCAGGCAGGCTATAAGGAGGGATTGTTGTCCCAATAAGGCAGCATCTACTGTATTGGCCTCAATATCTTATTAACAGTAGAAGTTAAATCTTACTGTAGTCTTCAAATCTGGGTACTGTCTTACGTTTTAAAATCACAATTCTTTTTCTTTAGATTTTACTCACGGGAGTTTGGTCCCATCAGGCTAACGTGACAGTCACGACTCATGCAGCTGCAAGGTTTTCTTTTTCTTTAGATTTTACTCACAATCTTTACAACGCATTACATTACGTATTTCATGGCACACTTGTTTTGTGTGTATTTGTCACCACCTATTGTTGTGGGTGTATTATTGACATGGCAAAGTCTAGACCCTGAATATAAGACGACCGCGTTTTTTCAGATGTAGTTCCAAGAAAAAAACATCGTCTTATATTCGGGTCAATACGGTATTTAATCATTTTAATAAATAAAATCATTTAAAATATTTTTTTCTCGAAATGTAACAATTTTTTTCTCATAATTTAATGAGTTTATTCTCAACGTTTTATTTCAACGTTTTTCTCGAAATTTATCCAAGCTTTCTTCTCGAAATGTATCAACTTTTTTCTCTTACTTTTATGAGTTTATTCTCAACATTCTCGACTTTTTTCTTGAAATTTAATTACTTTTTTCCCTCATGATTTAATGAGTTTATTCTCAACATTTTATTTCAAATTTTTCTTGAAATTTAAAGAGTTTAATCTCATATTATAATGACTTTATTCTCGAGATGGTTTTATTTTTTGATTATTGCTTTGCGCTAATCCTCTTCCTTTCGTATTTTAGCCGTAAGCAATGTTTTGAAGTTAAAACGTCTTGATGGATTTATTCATTACAAACACACAGCTTGTGGATTAGTACAATCGTTGTGATGTTATCATCAACTGTTTGGACTCTCATTCTGACGGCACCCATTCATTACAGAGGATCCATTGGTGAGCAAGTGATGTAATGTTAAATTTCTCCAAATCTGCTCCAATGAAGAAACAAACTTATCTACATCTTGAATGACTTGGGGCTTTGGGTAAACTCTCAGCAAATTTTTGGGTGAACTATTCTTTTAATTCTGTAGGCCTATTTATAAAACCATCTTGCTGAGTTTCCGGTGTTGCTCATTGGTACGTTTATTGTTCCAGGAGACACGCTGATTGTAGAGGAGGAGAAGAATAAACCCAAACCCCAATCACAAACCACTGTGACCAAAAGGCCCAGTCTTGACCTGTCCCCGGTTATAGAGCGGCACGTCGTCCCTGCCGACAACTCTTGTCTGTTTACCAGTGTGAACTACGTTATGGAAGGAGGTGTTTATGACCCAGGCTGTGCGCCTGAAATGCGCGGGCTCATCGCACAGATTGTAGCTAGTGACCCCACCGCGTACTCCGAGGCAGTATTGGGCAAGACTAATGAAGACTATTGCTCCTGGATCCGTCGCGATGACACGTGGGGAGGCGCCATTGAGATTTCAATCCTCTCAAAGTTCTACCAGTGTGAGATTTGCGTCGTTGACACTCAGACTGTGCGTGTCGACCGCTTCGGCGAGGATGCTGGTTACACTAAACGAGTGCTGCTAATTTATGATGGGATTCATTATGACCCACTCCAGAAGGTGGTGCCCAATTCAGATATTCCCGCACAGACTGTGTTTTCCACCACCGATGACATACTTTTGGCCCAAGCGCTGGAGCTCGCCGATGAGGCGCGGAGGAAACGGCAGTACACAGACGTCAACCGCTTTGCTCTGCGCTGCATGGTGTGCCAGACTGGCCTGGTGGGGCAGAAGGAAGCAAGGGAACATGCCAAGGAGACCGGCCACACCAACTTCGGGGAGGTGTGACGCTCTTCGCTCTGTTTTTTAAATCACCCCCACCTTTGCCGCGTCACTGCCACGCCACCTAACATGGTACCTGCTCGTTCTCTGCTGCCTGTTCCAGCTTGGTACAGTCCTCTACCTCACATTGTTTAGCGGCTTCAGAAGACTCTCACATGTCGAGTGCCCCCAAGAATTCATTATTCTTTTAACTTTGGTTTACTCTTGAGTTTGAAGTATTAAATGTGCTCGTGCTTTTGAGTCTGTTGCCAGATATGATGACAAAGCCGTATCTTCAAACCAAATTTTAAAGGGATTCTCTACTGACTACCTTATATATAATGATTACAATACTAGTATTAGGGTGAATTTCGCAAAACACATCCAGGTCATATTTCACTGCAGAATCAAAGAAGGAAAAAAAAAAAAGACTGTGTATGAAATCTCAATTCCAAAAATTATTTAAATCACGATTCAAAAAAATGTATTTAACTGTTCATTATTAACAGGCATCTTAAGCTATATATGTGTTTATAGTTGTTGATGCCTATTTTCATAATTCTCACCATAATTCTCATTTAATATTAGTAATATAGTATGGTATTATAAATTATGAAGTATTTATACATAGTAGTATTAAAGTTAGGCTACTTTTATATTTTATAGCAGTGATTTAATTGGAAAATAAGTTACTGTATTACATCTAATAATTTAATGAAAATTATGTTAAAAAGATCTTAAATATAATGTCTTTTTTTTTCACTGTTAAATGTGACCTAGACGTGTTTTCGTGAGATTCACCCATGACCTCATGTAAACACTTTTCTGTTGCCTGCAGCTCAAAGATGTGTGAGTAACAGCTGTTTGACAGTGCTAGCTAAACTCTTGGTAGTATCGAACAGATAATGAAACTTTAAATGAGTGATCACATAAGGCATAATTGATCATTTTTAACAATTAATCAAATATGTTAATCTTTTCACACACAGAGTAGTATTGAAAAAAACGGTGGAGCACAGCTAAAAACATGCCTTTCATGATATCTAATTTAATCATGGCATTACTGTATTTATTATATTATCTGTCTTTTTAAGGTCATACGCACAGCTTCTGAACAATCGATGGCACTACATGAAGTCTTAAGTTCACTTGGCTCCATTGTACCTGTTACTTGAAATAGTCACATAGATCAAGTGTCGACTCTGAATACTCGATGCGGTTTTTACACATTTTCAGTAAGCTATTTAGAAAGAAAGTGTGGATTTTAAGTTGAAGTGGACAACAACGGTGCTGATAGTAGAATCTCACTGAACTACTTTGTGAATCTGTAGATTTTGTTTTTCTTTTAAGGGCACTTGTGTATTTTCTGCAAATGACCACGCAAGATTGTTTTATGCAAAACGTGTTTATTCTCTCTCAAGTGACTATGACATATTGTTAGGAAGAGTGATTATAGTGATTTTCATTTTACATTTTAAGTGATGAAATGTGTCATATTGAACATTTTCCTGCTTACAGGGCCAATATTAGAGGTTTAGTGTAGCAAAGTATCATAGTATTAGAGTGTGGATGAACTTTAGAGAAAAATGTACATTCTCAGTATTTTTCAGTCAGGTACTATCCACACTGTTGTTTACTTGTTTGCAGCCTTTTTATTTTAAAGAAATGGTGCCATTGTAAGGCCAAAGGACTTTATTTTGCAGTGATTTTTCTAAATGGCTGTGATCAGTGTTACACTAAGGTAACTTTGAGTGAGAAACTGCATGTACAGCACTCATTGCTACAAAATCACTGGTTATACTGGGTAATGATAAATAAACTTGAATTGATATATATAAATATTCTTTTATATTTTTTGCCTAATTGTTAACTAATTAGTGTGGTTTACTAAAGCAAACATTACTACTACTCCCAAACTTTAAAGGGGTCATATGATGTTGCTAAAAAGAACATTATTTTGTGTATTTGGTGTAATGAAATGTGTTTATGTGGTTTAAGGTTAAAAAAACACATTATTTTCCACATACTGTACAATATTGTTTCTCCTCTATGCCCCGCCTTTCTGAAAAGCTCGATTTTTACAAAGCTCATCGTTCTGAAAAGTGAGGTGTGCTCTGATTGGCCAGCTATGCAGTGCGTTGTGATTGGCCGAATACTTCAAGCGTGTGACGGAAATGTTACGCCCCTTACCACCGTGTTCAGGAACAGTGTTGTAAATACAACTTAACCACTGATTTCTAGTCGTGTCCATTTTTGGAAGGCCAAACAAAGTAGTTTCACTTTCACAACGAAACACAGCGTCACACACTCAAATGCACTCAAAGCAGAGGCCGGGGGCTACAGTGAGGAACGGCCGGCGGATTCGACGAAGGATCGTCCGGCGGGCTTGCGGCAACCACATGTGACGACCCCGGGCTGGACAGACTGTCCTTGCAAAGTTGGAATTGCCCCACTTTATAGAAACAGACAACGGCATTGTAGGCTACTCTCACAGGAAACAGTCCTCAACCTCCGCAAAATGTGCATCACACATCTGAATATTTGGGTTGAAGTGTTCTGGAACAGTGTTGTAAATACCACTGATTTGTAGTCGTGTCCTCTTTTGGAAGACCAAACAAAGTAGTTTTGCTTTCACAATGAATCACACAGCGCCTTCACGACATGGTGGCGACATGGTAAATAAAAGTTACGCCTTCTTTCTTTGCGTGAACATTTGGGTGGCGTTATGCAAATCTTCTCACATTGTGACGTAGACATGTGGGGGCGTGTTAGAATGAGCCATTTTAGGTAGGTGTGGCTGACTCTTAACTTTTATAAAGAATATCTCTTTGGATTTGAGACTTTAGTCTTTGCAACTTTACAGATCTTCTTTATGCACCAAGAGCTTGTAACACTCCAAAGAGAAAGGAAAAATTGAAATCGCATCATATGACCCCTTTAATGTTAGTATTAAACTTTACCAAGCAATTTGTTCCATAACTCCAATTTAACCAGGAACCCCAATGTTAATTTCATCTTGAATGCCCTAGAATTAGAAACCACCTAGCAACACCCAACGCACACTTAGCACGGCCAACCAACTTACTGCAGTTACTGCAAACAAAAACCAATTTTGTTTGCATATGGCTTTTAGCATTTATTTCTTAAACTAGCATCTAGAAATTATTTTAGAATTACTAATATATAATCTACAAATAATCCTGTACCTCATTCACTAGTAATTACTCCTTAGCAATAGTGACTAAATGGTGAGTAATTGAATATATAGGCTACTATCACATCGGAATAAGAACTAATGAGTAGTTACAAGTCGTGATTGGATTTTTACATGGCACCACTAACATAAAACGTGTTAGTTTAAAGAAATAAATATTAAAACCGATTGAATAGTTAGTCACAATTGGATTTCTTCGAGTAGCATAAGCACCAGTAGTAGATAAAACCTTAAAAGTGAATTTTAAGGAATAAATGTTAAAACCGATTGAAGAGTTACCACACGATTGGATTTCTTCTTAGTAGGAAGTACCATAAAAACGAATTCGTTTTGAGAAATAAATGTTAAAACTGATTGCTTGTATGTGGTGTGAAACCATAGCCTCATGAATCCCAGTTAGTGGAACAGGATCAAATCAGTTCCATTTGACGGGGCTTAAACTAATGTTATTTTAAGAAACCCTTAATAACGCGATTAACCAGGATTTGCCGGTGATCCTCTCTCGACACTTTCTGTCATCGTGTGTTTGTCATTCCAGGCGTGTGCAGAGAAGTAGTATGTGTAGTTAAGTATATACTACGCGTCTTTCATATGTATTTTTTTTCAGTCACCAAACTACTGTTTTTACACGAACGTTCGTTTTTTCTCTACACTCACCGGTCTGTGCTCTGATTGGCTGCTGCAGGAGAGAGACGCAAATGATTGGTTGAAGATTTTCCTTATGTACAGTACTGACACCTCACTGTACCTCACATCACTGACACTGTAGAAGCACGTGAACCTGCTGGGCTGCCATCTCGTTTCTGCACAAGAGGTAAGCTTTTATTAAGGCATGCTTCAGGATTCATATATATTTTTTCTGCATATAAGTATTCTTAAGATTTTAATTAAAGGGAAAGGCAAATGATAACAGAATTTTAACCAGAGATGAATAAAAAAATAATTATGCAATTGTAAATAATGTGCTGAAATGTATGAATTAAAATCAGATTGAAATAAATATACACGCTGTTATTTACTATAGCCTATTATTTGTCTTACCCAGGTGTTAAACACTGTGAATTCATTTCTAGTGTAGTCTGATACTGATAGTTTCACATACCCTTAAAGTAAATAACTAGATAAGTGGGCTTTCTTGTGTAATACAGGTCACACATGTATAATAAAGTCATTTCAGTGGTATTATGATCATAGATTATTTCTCTAGAACTGCATAAAAGATGTTGGTGTTTCAAAGCACATATTGGTGTTGCAATTACAAAAAGAACCAAACATTTGATTAGCAGTATGTTATTAAGATTATATAAACTAGATAAAAAAAAGGCCAGTGGGTTTATTATGTCTGTGGAAATGGACTTTGCTTCTACACTCATTGCGATGTGGCTTACTGATTACAGTTCGATTATTGCAGATCAACTTTTAAAATGTAATGATATTTTGACAGATTTGAAAACAAATGTTGTGCTATACTGATGATAGTTTCATTTTTCATTAAACTGCAACTGCTTCATTCATCTATCCACAAAGAAATCCTGTTTGCTCTTACATTTGCATTGTATCCTACAATGTAATCACTGAAGGAAAAAAATGTGTTATCATCATTCACGTCATATGCAAATGTATAACAGTGAGAGCCTTTTACATGACTAATAAAACAAAGTGTATTGACATTGTTCTTGCTGATCTTTTATAAGGTGTACATATGAAACCATGTCTGTAGTACAGAATATTAAAGAATTAAACTTGATGAGCAGAACTTTTTGCACATTTAACATTTTTGTCTATTTAGCTTTGTGCTCTCTGAATTGGAGGTCAAAGTTTTGCTTTAAACCAACCGATGGTTCACTATCTTCCATTCATGCCGGACTTGATCCAACTAAAGAAGCTCAGAGTAACGTCTGCTGTAATCTCATTCACATCATCTGATCATTTAATATACCGTACACAAAAATACAAATAATTCCTGGTTAATTTAAGTTCATGTATTTACAATTTTAATTGCTTTACAATTTCCACTATTATTACTAATATAACCAATTCTTGCAAAGGGTGCATATCAAGATGCTTGCTCAAGCATTTCTTTTAATATTCTCTTTTTTTAAAGGGAAATGCAATTTCATCACCATTGTTAAAGAACTTTGAATTCATATCAGGGTGGAGGTTTCCATAATTTGCAAATGCCGATAAGTGTCATGTGGCAAGATGGCAAAGGCCTCGACACAATG